CCCAACATGGTGAAATTCAGATCCTACATAAGGGCAGAATTTTGGCATATTTTACAAGACTTGATTCAAGAAAAAAATAAAATAAAATATGAAAAAATTTAAATAAATTTCCAAAGATTTAATACACATATATAATAAGTATTTAGATCAACAAAATATGCACAGATTCTGCCAAAATAAAGTAGGACAAAATTTGTGAAATTCGAATCCTACATAGGCTCTAAATTTGCACAAATTTTACAAGATTTTGGTTCAAGCAAAAAGTAAAAATAAAATATAAAAAAATCTAAATAAATTCTCAAAGATTTAATACATATAGATAAGTATTTATACGCAAATAATATGCAAAAGTTTGGCCACAATAAAGTAAGAAAAAATTTGTCAGATTCAGATCCTACAAACTCTAAATTTTGATAGATTTGTAAAATTTAGTTCAAGAAAAAAAAATGAAAAATAAAATATGGAAAAAAAATTAAATAGATTCTCAAAGATTTAATACACTTAGATAAATAGTTACACCAACATATTATGTAAAAACATCGACCAAAATTCTAAGAAAAAAATTTTGTTATAGGAAAACATGTGAAACCATATAATTATCCCACAATTGATCAAATTAGTTTAACTAGAAATTTTTTATATAAAAACTTTTTATCGATCAAATTAGTTTAACGAAACTTTTTGGATAAAAACTTTTTATATAAAATAATTACTTTAATTAATTCGTAGAGGAAATATTAATTTAAGATTAATTTAAAAAATTAGGTTATCAAGATATCCAATAAATGAGTAATTCAAGCTAAATGAGTGATTTAATGCAAGTGATATGAGTGTCAAAAATATTGTGCTCTTAATTGTCTTGTTAGTTGCATATATCCTAGTCATATGCTAAGCACTTCTCCAAACTATCCAATTCATATGATTTTGACTCCACAAGCTTGACTGAGCTTCCTAAGTCTGAAATATTCTCTAAAACACTTTGTAGAAGCACATTAGTATCATCCAACATCTATTTGTTATCATCAACACTCATCTAGAGTACTATTGGGCTCAAAGAGTCAACATCTATGTATTTCAACCTTTGTTCATCGAAGAGTAGGGAACCGAGGTGAACCGTTTTTGAGGGATGATCACCCAACAGTAAAACGTAGATGAAGTCATCTATGAGAGAGATTTGTTAGGATACGTCCTCGTCACAAAGATTGAAGTTTTCGATGCTAAGTGTCTCTAATGAGTGTGATTGGCTTGCTTAAGGTTACACGATTGAGTTATCTTTTGATTTCTGCGCACACACCAACCCTAATTGGGTTTACAAACTTCAACTTGAGATGTGAAACAAAAGTGTTGATACAAAAAATAGACTGAAAGTGCCTCTCAAAGTTTTGTATGTTTGATTTCGACTTGAAGACAATGAACTAGATGTAGTGATTCATCTGCTGGGAAAATTCTCCTATTACGACAAGAAAACTAATCGCTCCTTAAACACTAATGATAGATTATCAAATCCATATAATGACCCAAATGCGGATTGAACTTTATCCCTAGTCAGCCTCAAACTTAGGAAGGTTCAGTAAAATAAGATGTTGATAGAGTTGTTTTTGTCAATCATAATTCTCTTCACACTGTAGCAATCGCCAATTCTGGCGTTGATGGCATGAGTGTATTTTTGGGGGACTTGGACTCCCTCTAAGTTATAATCAACAAAAATGATAGCTTGAAATGTGTTTTCTTTTTCACTAGTTCTTCGAGTTCGGTGATGAGGAATTGGTTAGATAACAATAGGCCTCCAACATTGTTTATACGAGCATACTTATCTTGCACAAATCGACCCAAGCACCCTTGTAAAACAAGTCTATCAATTTCTTCTTTAATTTGCTTACATGCTTTGGTGGCATGGTCATGGCTCCCGTGAAAATTAAAGTATTGCTCATGATTCCCCAAGTTGAGTTTTAAAGGGTAAGGCCACTTGACGGTCTCTTCATCAATTATGGTCATTAAACTGTTGACATGTGATATGTTGAGTGGTGTATATTCGTTCTCTAGTTAAGGCTCATGTTGTTATTTCAAGGACCATGGAGAGAGAACATGATTCCCTTGCTATGCAGACTTTCTTCATTATGAGGCTTGATTAGTATCCCATGGGCATCCCATGGGTTTTTCTTATGCTTGTCTACAAATCGCTTGAATTGCTCATTGTGTGTGTTGATGGCATTATATGCAATAATTTGAGCTTTGACATGATGGATGAGGTCACTGTAAATGTGAGTCATCTCTTGCATCAAGGATTTGTAGAAATATCATGGGCAAAGCCCCAGAAGAAGACTTCTCTCAGCAATTCTGAATCTACCCCGAGAATCTAATGAGATTCAGTGGAGAATATGTGAAAATAGTACTTGATGACTCTCTCATTTTGGAAAATTCTCAAAATATGGGACAAATCGTTGAAGATCTTTCTGTTTTCTATGAACTGCTCAATGAATAGTCTGGAAAACTCGTTGAAGGTGTTGATTGTGCCCCTCAAAAGAGAGTACAACAAGGTGTTAGCTTGACCCTTTAAAATGGTAGGAAACATCTGACATAGAAGCGCATCAGAGACACACTGAATGTGCATGATGATTTGATAGTGGTCAATATGCTCATAGGGGTCAGTCACCCATTCATAGAATTCAATGTTCAAGAACTTGAAACCGACTAGCATGGGGTGTTGGAGGACCACCTCAGCCAAGTGTGAGGACTCTTGAAACTTACAATGAGTGAGGAAGTGATTCTTATCCCCCATAGAGAAGTCTTCTCGAGCCAGACATCATAGCTCATCACAGATTATGCTATCAGGAGTGGTGACAATGTGGCGAAGCTAAATTTACCTTGAGCATCGGAGGGTGACCGGCTGGCCTAGCTACACAAGAACAGTAAGTAGAACGCGCAGTATCGAGGAAATAGGTGTCTAGCCTGGCATAAGAAAGGTTCCCTAGTAGGGACGGGGCCCGATATGAGTCTGCTCAATCGAGGCATTTCCCATTGGCTCCAGATATGTGATAAGTAAGCTTTATTTGTTTGTGTGCGCATCAACTATCAGCCCACACATAGGAGCCGAAAGATCTCATGCCAAGACTTATCTATCCTGTGCACTCAATTTTCCAGAGAGGGACCTGAGGTGCCTTCATCTGCAGGATAATATCTTCAAAGTGGGAAGTGACAGGGTCTTAACGTACTTGGTTTCATGAAAGTCTCCTATAATGGTGGGTGTTATAGTGGGATGCTTTGTTGTTATAAGTGTTATGTCTAGCGACCACTCAGTAAGTTTCACAAGTCCTTCGATTTTAGTATTGTCTTTCCCAAAAATAGCGCCAAATTGATGTGTCAGAAGATTTACGATTGCAAAGTGATTATTTAACATCTTAACATTTGACGAAAGTCATGCATACACTTAGATAACAGAAGTAACAAGTAAATATACCAAAAGTTTTTACATGGAAAACTCAAAAAGGAAAAAACAACTGGGCCTAGCCCAGCTGAAATGATCAAATATGAGCTGATGATTAAACATCCAGACCCTTGTCCCACAAGTTATAAATGAAAACACAGTTCCTCAATATATAATGTTTGCATGTTGAATGAGTCGATGTGTTGTGTCGAGAGGGGTTGCAGTTGAGAGTAGTTGTCAGAGCCCACTTCGAGGTGTGTCGTTGTACTGTGCTCAGGATAATGTGTTGCTTCATAGAATGCTTCATTACTCTGTGATGTTAGTCATCACTCAGCATAGTGTTTTGTTACTCTACAATGTGTGTCTTGACTCTTCAAGGGGCTTTGCTGCAACAAGCATGAGTCATTTGATGTTTGATGATTATTGGAAAGCGATGATCGAGGGTGATCAGTGGACGAGGGAGCGGAAAGTGTTCATCAAGTTTTTGGTCCAAAACGACACTGGAATTCAAGTCCTTCGCGAACTAACTCCAGGTCAAACTCTTCTTTTGGCTCAAGACCTCAGTCCCCTTTCATGAAGGGGGTAAGGCTCTAATTATAGTGTATGAGAGTGCCTCCCTGTAAATAAAGAGTGTTTTGAACCACTACATTGGACAACGCAGAGAGATTCCCACGATTTGATGACATTTTAACATTTAAGTATCTTAATAATGTCATAATTGAGTGATCTTAGAATTGGTAGATTCGTCTCGTCGAAATGCTTGATTTAATATAAAACTTGTCAGGTTTGGAATCCATTTGACCTTCCAATTAGTCTCCAAAATATTTCAAATGTGGTTTAAAAGCTTAATTCAAGTATGATTTGACTCAGATTGGACCATATTTGGTGTTATTAGGTCCATCTTTTCGATGATCCGATTGTTTAGGGTTTAGGGTTTGTTGAAATTGGAGTTTGTTGAAATTGGAGTTCTTAATGATCTTTAATTGAAGTTGAATGTTTCTTGCTCACAAGAAAATTTTAAAGGTTCAGTATTGAATGACAAATTCGTTGATTGCCAATAACATTGATGACTAACCCTAATCACTACTAATCCAATTCATTAGTTTTAATATTACAATATTTGCTAAACATTTAAATTATAATAATTCATTATAATAATCACAAAATTAAGAAAAAAATAGAATCCACTTATTGTGTTGCCATAACTATAACCACTTGGAAGAACACCCTTGATGTCATGTTGACTTTCATGCTATAAGGAGAATAGTTCAGAAATATTAATCCATCCAACTAATATGAAGACATAAAATTTGTCCAAATAATATTATATATTCTCTTTCAAAAAAAACATCTTCTAACCAATCCTATATGTAGGTAATACTGGATCAATTTTAAGCCTTTTTTCTATCTTAAAATTATTACATCAAATTGATTTTAGTTCTCAATAAAATCTAATGAGCAATACCTACATTAAAATGAGATCAAATCAAGCCAAAATTTAACCAAGTTCATCTCAAAATTATAGCATTCATTCTAAGAATTTCAACAGTTCACAATGGCATTAAGATTGATCAATAAGAATTGCTTTCCCCATTAATCGCCAACTCCTATCATAACTATTCTAAGCACACCAAAATTTGCACATTTGCCTCAATACTAATACCAATCTAACAATAACTTTTCACCAAAACAACTTAGAATAAATGACCAAATGACTAATCACAATACTACTACAACAAGAGTCCCAAAATTCTCAATCCATATCTACAAACAAAATTGTTCTCATTTTCTCTCAGTAAATATCAAACTGTAATAAATACTTTAAAATATGTAATTAATGATTAGCTACCAGCACATTACCTGATGATTCATTCTTCAATTTCCTGACGATCAACTCAGCCTTCAGAGCATCGATCAGAACCGAGTCCTCTTCCATAATATCTCCTCTGAGAACTCCAAGAGCGACCTCATTCTCCACCATTTGCTGAATAACTCTCTTTACAGGTCTTGCTCCAAAGTTAGGGTCAAAACCAATGGTGCCCAGCAGCTCAACTGCTGCTTTAGTGTATTGCAGATCAATTTTCTTCTGCTTGAGTCTGTCTTTCACACGATTTAACTGGAAGAGTAAAATTTGAAGTAAGAAAATTGAAGGAGAATGAGTTTAATCTTGATTGCATGTGATATTTGTAAGAGAAATTTACATACATAGCACACAATTCTTATGTATTTACATATCTCACACCTAAACTTTCATATTTACATAGCACTGTGGTGTTTTGTATGAGAAATTTATGTATTTACATGTCTCACACCTAAACTTTCATATTTACAGAGCCTGGTGTTTAAACCTATGCATGAAAGTGTAAAACTCATCGTGACAAAAAATTCGATCAGAATATTCTGAACCATTTTTTTAGAATATCCTTAGTCAATTTATTCCCCCTAATGAGCATTATTTGCATAATAATGCTATTTTTAAGTGATATTAAAGATTTGAGTTTTATGTGTGTAAATATGAAAGTTTGGATGTAAAATATGTAACTACATAATAATTGTGTACTATGTATGTAAATGCCCCTAAACTTTCAAGGAATATTACCTGGATCTCCACAATACGGTTGATTTCTTTAGAATCAAGCGGCTGAAAAACAATATATTCATCAATTCGGTTCATAAATTCTGGCCGGAATGTTTGCCTGGCCAACTCAACCACCTGTTTCTTCATTAGCTCATAAACAGCTTCTTTAGAATCATGGCTTCCACGCAATGTTTCAAGTATGTAATGTGATCCAATATTAGATGTCATTATTATAACTGTATTTGTAAAACTAACAGTCCTTCCCTGTGAATCAGTGATCCTTCCATCATCCAGTAGCTGCAACAGTATGTTGAAGACATCATGATGTGCCTTCTCAATCTCATCAAAAAGAACAACAGAGTAAGGCCGTCTCCTAACAACCTCGGTTAGCTGTCCCCCTTCTTCGTACCCAACATAACCAGGCGGAGCACCAACCAAGCGAGAAACTGTGTGTTTCTCCATATATTCGCTCATGTCGATCCTCACAAGAGCATTCTCCGTGTTAAAAAGGTAGCCCGCCAGTGCTTTAGCAAGCTCAGTTTTGCCTACTCCAGTTGGACCCATGAACATGAAGCTCGCTATCGGGCGATTGGGATCCGAGAGCCCCGCTCGTGATCTTCGTATGGCATCGGCAACAGATTTCACGGCGATATCCTGGCCAACTACCCTCTTATGTAGAACCTCTTCCAATGAAACCAGCTTATCCCGCTCTGACTGCTGGAGGTTGGAAATCGGAATGCCGGTCCATTTGCTCACAATTTCAGCTATATCGATGTCAGTGACCTCTTCCCTAAGCATGGAATGTCCGGATTGGCGGAATTCTTCGAGTTTATGCTCTGCTTCCACTAGCTGTCTCTGAAGGGACATGAGAGTACCATATTTGAGCTCTGCAGCACGGTTCAAATCGTACTCACGTTCAGCCGCTTCCATCTCTAAGTTCACCCGATCAATCTGAAATGATCGACTATCACAATTAGAAACTAAAACATGGTGTCATGGAACCTTAGGTGCTGTTTGCAATCACTTTTGATTTTAATTTTAATTTTAATTTTTTTAATGTATTTTTAGTCAAAATGAAAAATATTTGATATGTTAAAATATGATTAATTGTTTTTAAAAAAATTTTCAATAAATTGTAAGTCTTTTGAATGTTATTAAAAACAAATTAATTTTTTTTAAAAACCATAAAAATAAAAGTATGCCAAAAATGCACAAAACAATAATATTTAAAAAAAAAATAATCTCAAACAAACCCTTGGGTCACCACATTGATTTCAATTTTACCTCCTCTTTAATCGAACGTATTCGAGTCATTAGGTTCTTCTCGTTCTCCCACTGCTCAGAAAGTTCCTTCTGCTTTCGCTTTAATACTGCAAGATCAGCTTCCAGCTTGCTTAGCCGTTCCTTTGAAGCTTTATCGGTGTCATTTTTCAATGAGAGCTTCTCCATCTCTAACTTCAGTATTGCTCTATCCACCTCATCCAATTCAATAGGTTTGGATGTTATTTCCATCTTTAACTTAGCAGCAGCTTCATCAACAAGATCAATGGCTACAGGCAACATTTATAATCTACTCAGAGAAAGAAACATTTTCGAAGGCTTCCTATCTGTTTGGAATCACTTTTGATTCTTTTTTTTTTATTTTATGAAAATATGTTTAATTGGTATAATGCTATGTGCTTATATTTTATTTATATTTTTGTTTTAAAAAATAAATTAATATATTTTTAAAAGCACTCAAAATACCAAAAAGATGTCTAAGTATTCTTAAAAACAACTAACTAAATCAAACATTTATTATTTTGAATCAAAACAAAAAAAGTTAAAATAAAAACAAAAAATATAAGTTATCCCAAAAGACCCCTTAAATTGTCACATACCTTTATCAGGCAAAAAACGATCAGTGATGTAACGGTCTGAAAGAACAGCGGCTGAGACGAGAGCGCTATCGGATATTTTAACACCGTGATGCAATTCGTAGCGCTCACGGAGCCCGCGTAAGATGGATATTGTGTCTTCCACAGATGGCTGACCACAATAAACCTGCTGAAATCTCCGTTCCAAAGCAGGGTCCTTCTCGATGTATTTCCTGTATTCAGTCAAGGTGGTGGCTCCAATACAACGAAGCTCTCCTCGGCCTAACATGGGTTTAAGTAAGTTTCCAGCGTCCATTGCTCCACCTGTAGCTCCTGTAGAATTTGGAAACCGCTGAAAATTAGCTAACAAAAGACTTTTGGAAAGTCTGTTATCAAGCCAATCAAAGGAACTCTACATGAGAAAACGTAAATGAAAACTAATAGAGATGAGCTTTTATTGAATGCAAGCATTTTTCCCCGAAGGTTTTTTTTTTTTTTTTTGAGAAAAAAATATCAAGCTTCCTTAATTTAAGTAATTGTTGAAATGATTATGCAATAAACGCTGGTGCGATGGAAATCTGAGTAAGGTTATTTATTTGGTGCAATTGACGACAGAATACTTCAAAGGAAAATTTACATACATACCAGTTAATTCCAATGTGATGTGGAGTGCCCGATTATTTCGTACGTACGCAATAATTTTACCTGCTCCAGACACAGGAGTCCTGCGAACAAAGCTAAGACCCGACTTTTATATCTAGCCCGAACTGGTCCAAGTTTTGCACCTATTGAGGAGTCGGTCAGTCCTGTTGCACTGCTCATACTTATCATATTATTATATGGTTATTTTCTTAGGAGTCTAGGATTAGTTTTGGATAGCATTTCTGTCATAACAGCCATTGTGTCCCCTTTTTTCCTTCTGGTGCAGTATCCAAAAGCGAGTAGTGCTCTGATTGTTTCTCGTTCTGAGGTGATGATTCTCCTCTATAGGTCAAGTGGAGCTCCGGAAGCTCCGGCTTTCCTTGCCCCACATCCACCCCAACACTTCCGGCCACTCTTCTCTGTTGCAGCAGCAAGGAAGAGCCTCCTTTTGCTGTTTTCTGCAGTTCCTGCAGTCCAGCAACCTTCCCGCCACTTCCCTCCTTGCAGCGCCGCATAGAACAGCATCCCATTGCTGTTCCTTTGCTGTCCTCCAGCAAAAACTAGCCGCCAGCCACTCCTTGTGCTGTTTCCTGCAACCTCTACCCTTCCCTAATCTTCCCACATCTCTCCCAATCGCTGGTCCTCATTGCCTCCATGCCTTGCTGTTTTCCAGCTGTCCAACCGCCCCCTATTCGCTGCACTCCCATAAAACCGCTCCAACCACAGTTTAACTTAATCCCAACGCCCATACCATCATTCCCACCACTTGCCACCCTTACAAACCCCATAGCCGACCACCATCACCCCTGGATCGAACCCTAATGTGAGTTTTTGTATCGTGTTTGTTGTTATTTTTACTTTCAGTGTGTTGGTTGTAACAGTCTGTTGGCTTTTCAGTAATAATATTTGTTTGTTTATTATTATTTTGGTTAAGTCCAATATCATTTGGCATCAGAGTCAGTTTAACCATAGTACAATCCCAGGGTTTCTAGTATCCACCAATACTCAACCTCACCTCCACATAAAACTCATTTCCTTTACTGATTTTCAAACCGGCCACCCAAAAATTTTCTTTCCTGCCCTGTATCATCCCTATGCACTCTCTTCCACCTACCCAAACTCAAACCCCAACTCCAACCACCGAGAAGACAATTGTCGGAGACCAGTTCGGGAGGAATACCACAATGTCATTTATGAAAAATCCAGAAAAAAATTTCCAGGAACTTTCTATAGAGGATGTGCAAAGGGAAATCCTCCAAGTGCAACAAAAACCCACCACTTTTGAGAGGAGGCAATCCCAAAGGTCACTAGTAGCCACCACAGTGACCTGTTAGATCGAAAGAATGCAGCGACCCTTCTACTAGACAAATTCTAGAGATGAAGAATTACTGCCCCAAAGATTTGGCATGAAATATTAGAAAATCTAAGATATTTAAGTAAAAATGAATTTGTCATATTTTGACGGCCAAATGGATCCGGACAAGTTCAACGAGTGGCTCTGGGTAGTGTAACATGTCTTTGAGTACTGGGACGTCCCACCAGAAAGAATGGTGAAACTAGCCACCAACAAGTTAAGGAATGGTGCATCTTCTTTGTGGGAGAACTTAAAGATTTTTTAACAGCGAGAAGTAGAGTAAAATTATGGCCTAATAGAAGATGAAATGAAAGATGCAGTGCCGGTACATATCAATTCTTTACAAACAGGATATTCATACCTTAAATGTGGAGAAAAAACATTATTAGATGATCGTCACTTCTCAAAGAGAATTCAATTTCAAGATCAAACAATTTGAGAACACCCAGAGGAACATCCAAGAGATCCCCAAGGAGAAACTAGTTCAGAATGGAGAACAGGTGAAGCCAACCAACATTCCAAAATCAATCCCTACTAGAAGTGCATCAAGTGCCACAGTTTTGGGCACATTGAATCAGATTGCCGAACCATAAAAACAATCTCTTTCATTAATCAAAGAGCAGTTGAAGAAATGCGCAATGACACCGCAAAAACTAAAAAAGTTGAGGAAACAAATAAGAAATACCATATTCCAATCGATGAGGGAGAAAATCATGTAATTCAAGCTAAGCCCATGATAAAGACTTCAACAGAACTAACAATGGTGCTACAAAACAGTCCTAAGTGTGAGAAACCGACACTCGGCACAAGGGAACCCCAGACAAGAGAATTTTGAACTTTTTAGATACATATAGTTTACTTCCTGAGTTGCCCCAACGGAGAGAGGTTCAACATGTTAGAGATGACTCTTTTGTGCCACTTCTCGAAGATTATATGGATTCATTTTGGTATTAAAGTCAGTTTTGCAGTATACCAATCAACAGATGATCCCACAAGATAGATGAACAATAGAGTTGAAAATCGATGTACGATCTTTGAAGGGGGAAAAAAAACTAAAATGAGATGAATACCTTTCAGAGAAGAAGATGTCTCCCCAAAATGGTTACACTTCAGTGTGGTCTAACAACCTATAGATTTAATCCACCAGTTGATTCCTACTTCATGTTTACTAGATATAGTCGAACGAGTATGAGGAGTGGACGAAGCATATGATACAATCCGACCTCAAAATCAGCACATTTTTTTTTTCATAGTAATTAGAGCAAATTCCAATTTTTATTGCAATAATCCAAACTCAACAAGAATACAAAAGAAAAGCACCAACAATTTAAGAGGTGAGCGATCTCTTCGAGTTCCTACAATTCGAGAGGTAGGAAATCTCTCTCAAACCCTAAACCTAAGATTCACAATCCAATCTTATACATAACCCTAACCCTAAACATAGTAAGCCTATTCATACCCAACACTCATAATAATAAAAGACTAAACTACCCTTAGGCATAAAAGACAAAATTATACTTAGACTAGGCATAGACGTGACAATATTCCCCCTTCCAAAAGACGCATTATTCTCAAGGTGGGAAAAAATGAAAGTACTCCTCCACAGTCGCCTCTATTTCTTCGTCATTTGTCTCTTCATCAAGCACTATGAGAACTTATAATTTTTTTATGCTTGCGATAGTGTCCTGAGATAAACTTCTCATCACACCGAAAACATAACTCATTGGCTTGCTTCTACAAAATCTGTCTATGTAAGGTGCTTAAGTGTCGCTCCAGGTCATGATTTATTATTCTTGTCCCGTACAACCTCACTCTAGACGCCCAATGTTTGAGCTTTTGGTATTGTTGAGATAGTAGCAGTTCGGTACGACGTTCCAGTTGTGTTCCTTCTGCTGGCGCAGTTCGGTACGACGTTCCAGTTGTGTTCCTTCTGTTGGCCTTCTTCATCCGGTACTTGTCCTCCATCATATGGGCGAGCTCTATTATCTCCCTCAATCCCCGCAGCCTCAATAGTGGGAGTGTTGCCCGTATGTCGGGCTTTAGGCCTTCCTAAAATTTCCCTCCAATCCTGCTTCAAAAATTCCCCACTGTCATCTTGATAGTAGCTCAAATCTCTCTATATATTTCATGATATAGTCCCCTCCTGAGTTAAGACATAGAATTGTTCGTGCAGGCCTTCTTCCTAAATGGCTTGGAAATGTTCCAACAAATAATTCTTATCCTCCCACGAACAATCAGGTATTTAGCCTCTCTCCATTGGAACCAAGCTAGGGCCAAAACATAACCCTGTCTGCATGAGATTATCCTCCCCATCTAGCCCATTCACCACGAAGTATCGCTCCACCAAATACACTCACACATGTGTGTTACCCCTCAAAAATAAGCATCTTCAACTTCCTAACCCTAACATCTCCACCACAACATCCTCTCCCTCCACTGTTTCCCCCCATGTATTGAGGGTAAAACTCTCCCCTTTGATCATAGTCATATCCCCTCCCCACTTCTCTTCTTTCTTCTTTGTGCTCTTATGTGCCCCTTACACCGCCCCTCCTCCAATTTTCGGGCCAACCCCCTCCATCGGAATTCCCCACGCCCCCCTTCTCAGAGTCCTAAGGGGGAGGTTTAGGTGGAAGCTGGTGTCCTCCTCGTTGTCTTCTTGTTAGATCCTTCTCACTTTTGATTTGGACAAGGATTCTCAAATCAACCCTTGGTTAGGATTTACAATTTTGAGCTGTCGGCAGGGTCTTGGATTGCATCTCCATGAGCCTCATCATCATCTCTCGTATTTCCTCTATGCTCTCGAATCTGCCCTCCATTCGGCTCTTTATGGAAGAAAATCAATCATCAATGATGGCAAACCTTTCTTCCATTCCCGATCTAATTTGGCTCAACTCTTCCTCTAATTTCTTCTCTAAATCATCTACTTTCTTGCCTGTTATTCTTCCCAAAAAATTTTTTTGAACACACAAGATAGAAGCACCTATACCCTTAGGCTAGGCCATACATGATTCTCTAAATCATCTACTTTCTTGCCTATCATTCTTCCCAAAAAATTTTTTTTTATCACACAAGATAGAAACACCTATACCCTTAGACTAGGCCATAGATGATTTCATAGCTATTTTGAATCACGTCATTAAGTGCCGCAAAATTGAGATCTAGCAAAAGAATCTGAAGAATTTCAGTCATTTGCTTTGGTCGCGACTGGATCTCAAGGTACAGCGGAAGGAGGAGAAAACCACTGGAAAGGCGATTATTGTGAGCCATAGTTATCCAGAGTCGCGCTCACTGTGAGTCGCAATCACGTCACGGGAGGGAGATGCGCTGCAAGTGATCTCATTGATGCAGGGAGTTCCTGGTCTCGATAAGCCACGATCTTATCGTGCCTCCCAGAGACACGTCGCGATCTAGATCACAACTCTATCGTGCGTGAGGAGAAAAAATGTGAGTTTAGAGTCTTAGTAAGGGTCGGTTTGGGGCAGCTTGTGTGTTTTAGAATAAGCAGTTTATACTGAAACGTGAATAAACAACTTATTCTGAAACGCGGCCCATGAGTCAACCGCGGAGTTCGACCCGTGGCCTGTGTTTAGTATAAAAAACTCAAACGCGGCAAACAACATTTTCAAAAACGCTCATACCAAACAACAACAGCGTTTTCAAAAACGCCGCCGCACTTATAAGCTGCCGCAAATGGGCCCTAAGTCGTGGTCCCTTCGTTGCATTGCCCTAGAGAGTCGATTGATCGATCCTTTCTTTGGTAGACTTATAAGCTGTCGCAAATGGGCCCTAAGTCGTGGTCCCTTCGTTGCATTGCCCTAGAGAGTCGATTGATCGATCCTTTCTTTTGTAGCTACCATTCCCAGAATTTTAAGCTCTGATACCAATTCGATACGATTTGACCTCAAAATCGACATGATTTTTTTTCCCAAAAATTAGGGCAAACTCCAATTTTTATTGCAACAATCCAAAAAACTCAATAAGAATACAAAAGATAAGCACCTACAATTCGAGAGGTGGGTAATCTCTCCCAATTTCTACCATTCGAGAGATAAAAAATCTCTCTCAAACCTTGACCCTAAACATAGTAAGCATATTTATACCCCACACTTATAATAATAAGAGACTAAATTTCCCTTAGGCGTACAAAAGAAAAACTTGCCCTTAGATTAGACATAGACGTAACAAAATTATAAATTTAATTTTTCGAGATTTGGCTAATAGGAATCTATGTCGATATGCAACTCCGGCTCAAGTTGTACTAAAAGTGAATGAATGCTTATTCTATCAAGATGTGCTTTGGGCTGACAATATCTAAAGAGTGACGTAACGGGAGATGAAAATATTTCCGCTACATTCAACAAGGTCGACATGACTGCTATGAAGAGAAAGAAGTTTCGACACATGAGGCTGAAGCTCCTCCAATCTAGGGAGAGTGACGCGGGAACGCCTCCTCCCAAAATGGGAATCCCACGAATGAAGCAACGACATGGCTGCTGCATCTGGACCGAACCGGTCAATGTTTTGTCCCAGTTGAGGAGTCGGATGGTCATCTTGGGCCACTCCAAGTTATACTATTACTATATATTTGCCTTTATAGAAGTCTAGAGCTAGTTTTGGATTGCATTTCTATCAGAATAGCCATTGGTGTCCCCTGTTTTCTCGTCTAGGGCTGTATCCAAGGGCAAGTGGTGCTCCGGTTGTATCTCATTCAGAGATGGTGATTCTCCTCGAAGAGTCGAGTGGTGCTCCGGCTATATCTCTCGCTCGGGGGATATTTATCTCAAGCTTTCATTGTCCGACATCCGCCCCATCACTTAGCCACCCCTTCCCTGTTGTGACCACACGGAATAGCCTCCTTTTGCTTTTTTCAGCATTTCCTGCTGTCCAACCACCTTCCCCTCTCTTCCCACCTTGCTGCAACTGCATAGAACTATGTCCTGTTGCCGTTCCTTTGCTGTCCTCCAACAGAATCAGCCGCCATTCACCCCTTGAGCTGTTTACTGCAGCCTCCACCCTTCCCCAACCTTCTCGCATCGCACCCAATTGTCGTTCCTCACTGCCGCCATTCAGAAAAAAGCAAACCTGCAGTTTTCCTGTTGTTCAGCTGCCCCATACTTGCTGTCACTCCTAGAACTGCCACTCCTAGAAAACCGCTCCAACCGTTGGAATACTTCATCCCAGCGCCCATACCATCATTCCCGCCACTTGTCACCCCTTTCAAACCCCATAGCCAACTACCACCCCTAGACAGAAACATAGTGTGAGTTTGCATGTCGTGTATGTTTTTATTTTCCCTTCCAGTGTGTTGGTTGTAACTTCCTATTGGCTTTTCAGTAATATTATTTGTTTGTTTATAGCTGTTTGGGTTAACTCCGGTATCACTATGAACTTACTTATCTAACTACCTTACCTATGAACAAAAGATGTAGATCACTTTTTAAAAGATAAAAGTGTCACTTTTTAGGTGATATTAATGATTTGGGTGGTATAAATGTAAACAATAAAATTTATGTAAATATATAATAATTGGGTGGGCGCCAGCTTCGAATTATTTCTTTTACTAATATGGATATGCAGATAACCCACCAGTGAATCTTTTGCCCAAATTTTCCAAATGTATGAATGGCTAAATGGTTTCTATGAATCAAACTCATGAAAAGAATATAGATTTATTCTGGAAATGAATGAAAGGAAATGACACTTGTTGCTTCAGTAACATTTTCTTTTTTAGATCACTAATGTCATAAGGCCTCAAAAAGTAAAAGAACTAAAAATAACAACACATTTCTACATTGATCATACGAAAAGAAGGTAAATCAAATAATCAAATTATTTTTATTCTGGAAATGAATGAAAGGAAATGACACTTGTTGCTTCAGTAACATTTTCTTTTTTTAGCTCACTAATGTCATAAGGCCTCAAAAAATAAAAGAACTAAAAATAACAACACATTTCTACATCGATCATACGAAAAAAAGGTAAATCAAATAATCAAATTATGTGAACAGAAATTGCACTTGAGAGAAAGAAATATCAAAGCTACCTGCACCAACCAATGTGTGAATCTCATCAATGAATAATATAATCTGTCCATTAGAAGACGTAACTTCTTTCAGAACAGCCTTTAATCTTTCTTCAAAATCCCCACGAAACTTCGCTCCCGCAAGCAATGAGCCCATATCCAAAGAGATCAGCTGAACATGAATAATATGTTAGATTAGTAAAAAAAAATAATAGGGACATTTACATAAATACCACCCAGTTCATATGTATTTAAATATGTTACACCTAAACTTTATTTTTTACATTTATACCCCCAAATCTTTCATGTCACATCAATAATACCACCATTTTAAGTTTTTAAAAAGCGAAAAACAATTTTTCATGGATAGGTAAGGTGGCATATATGCAATAACTAAAGTTTTGGTGTTAGAAATGAAAATACATATAATTGAGTGGCATGTATCTAAATCTTCCAAGATGAATTAAATTTCAGTTTGGCATTGCAAATAAGTGATCCCATGGTGTGATAGGTATGAACTTAAATGACATTGTGAATGATTTTTTGTTTATATTAGTTCAAACCTAATTGAGAAGAGAAGGATAAGAATTCAATTACTAGCTCTTCATATCAACTTTCTAGTCAGAGAAAAAAAGAACACTCCAGACTATGATGCAGCTTCAACTACTTCGCTTGAAGTTGTGTATAAAAAGAAGAGGATATGTTTGCATTCATCTTTAAAGAAGGATGATCAAGGCAACAGATAGTTATTATTCCCCTCCAACATCTGATCATATCACAGTAGTGCCTCTACAGCTTTCTCTCATATATTCCTCTTAAAGCTTAGTGAATTATTTGATTTTTGTTTGGCCGGAACTATATGGGATCTCACCTAATCACATAAAATTCACATCTTTGCATTTTTTATCTCATTTGCAGTACTCTTCATATTTGGGTCTAAGGTTGATGCATTGAAAATTTTAAGTTAGACGGGGCTCTCCAAATACTAAAAGCATAATGTCTACGAGGTCTTTGCATTTTTTATCTCATTTGCAGTACTCTTCAAATTTGGGTCTAAAGTTGATGCATTGAAAATTTTAAGTTAGACGGGCTGTCCAAATACTAAAAGCATAATGTCTAGTAGAGATAAAGAGGTCTGATAACTTAAAGAGTCTTCAAACTTGGATGAAAAGGCTCTGTCAACGATACAATGATGTTAAACATATGATATTTTAATAGAAGACTTGGAGGAAATAATGCTGAAGGTTTAGAACTTAAGTTGGACTCTATGTCAATGACTAGAAAATCTCTTCAACAAATTACACCAAGAGCAAGATTTTTAGTTTTAATTCTCATGCAATAAAATATATGTTAATCAAAATACATCTGAATGAATTCAATACTATCATTAAAAATTTGAGAAATATTAATATAATTACTAATGATAGGAATAAATGACATCGGAATTAATCCAAATAATAATAGAAAAATAAATATTATTACTAAATTCAAGTAGCAAATTACAACTGACACACGGAAAATTGAAATTGCAGCAATTGACAACACAAGTCAAAGCTAGAGCTAGGTCTGAGGGTTGTGGTGGTGATCGACAAAAATTTCGGCTTCCTGAGAGGTAGCAAATGTTGGTTAGAGAGTGGGATAGTGGGGTGGTAATAAAAGGGGAATGTGGTGGGTTGTGGTGGCATTGTAGGATGGCTGGACAGCGGTAGCGCAGGAAGGCGACAGAGTTGTGGACCTGCAACAGCGATGAAGGACTGCTGGAAATGCTGGAGGAAGGTGCTAAGATAGCTAAACGGAGTACACAACAAGGTGAGGTGTTTACAAGGCTGCAGCAGCGAGGCAGAAGGCTGGGAGGAGGGTGCTGCGATGGCTGGAACAGCGATGACGGCAAAAGGGAGGGCTGGGCGGCGGCAACAGGGGATGTCAGGGATTGCCGAACAGCAAGAGGATGGCTGTCCGGGGTAGCAACAGCGAGGAAAAACTGCTAGAATTGGAAAACCTGCAATGAAAATAGCAACGACAGATGTTTGGGGCAGCTGTAGCAATGGAGGGCTACTGAGAGCGATGCGGGGAAGATGCGGAAGAGGATGGATTATATAATCAACACCTCGAGAGAGAGATACATATACCCTCAGATACAGCCATCGAATGGAAAAGAAGACACTAGCAGTTGTCTTAGACTGACACCAAAAACTGCAATCTAACCCTACTACAAGACATATATAGGAAGGACTAGAAAGAAATGAAAAGGAAAGGATAAAACTTGGTAGAAATTGGAAGGAATCGAAAACAGGGCCGCTAAGTTTGGATCTGGGTCGTTGGCATAAGCCACGCACGCGATCACTGGATCTTGCGATCCTACGTCCACTTCATAAGTGGGAGATGCCCCGCATCAGCAAAATATTGTTATTATCTTATTCTTTCCCCCATGCAAGTACTTCTAGAACACCATATTATATGGATGTGATACAATTAATTTTAAAGGATGACAAAGATTCAATTCTTTCAAAAGAGGTGTTTACTAAGCTCAGAGGAAAAGAACAACTAGTTGAAAGTCTATAGCAATTCAGTAGACATTATATGACTAAGGGTTCCCTTCTACTCGTAGCTGGAGTAAGCATCATGGAAAATTCAAGGAGATCGTCTAATTTTACAGGAACAAAAAAAAATGAACGTAGAGAGGAATTGCTTAGCCTTATAGCATGAAAATGAAGTAAATGACAACTATAAGGAACATAAGTTGGCAAATGCTAGTGTAGCTGCAGAGTGATTTGGTTTTAATATTGGTGCTCTCTTGGGGGCCGAGAGGGACGGGTGCAAAAAGCATTAGATAATAGGCTCAACTTGTTCAAATTGCGTGTGGTCTATTTTGGAGACTGTTTCACATATGAGCCAAATCCTAGTAGCTATAATTACATGTGAAAGGGACTTTGCATGAAAAACTAAAAGAACTAACACTATAAAGTTAATGATACATATGATAGTGTGACTATTTCGCAAGCTACTGTTAAGTATATACTTGATACAAGAAAAAAAAAATTCTAATAATCTTAAGTGCTCTTAATGTTGCATGATATATATATTTTTAGTGGTGTTAATACCATTAAGATTGTTAGGGCAATGACTATCATAAAGGCAAACAGAGTCGATTGACTCTATGTTGCAAAATACAACATCAGTGATACATTTGATTTAGTTGACATTATGATAAAACCATAAGTTTCAATACGCTAGTGTCAGCTAGTTTAATTGGCAAAAATGTTTGTTGAAGTATTACCAAGGTCCTCAGTCTAAATCCAACAAGCAGCAAAAATCATGCAGCACACAAAATTTACAATTCACAAAGTCTTAATCTTTTAACAATTATTCATGACCTCATATGAAAACCTAAGATAAAAAAGTAAATCTACTCAAAACAAAATTCAGTAAACTTAGAATAAATTATCATTTCAAGATTCCAAAATAAATAATCATGCAGAAGATTTGAAATTCATTTACTCAATTTTGATTAGAATCAATAACATTATCAAATTAATAACAAAATTTAAAGCAAATAAAGTATAAGGAAAAGAACTAATAGAAAATTTTGAGTAAGTACTAACTCACAAAAGTAGTTACGCATTTACATATCTAACGCCTAAAGTTTGATATTTACATTTATAACATCTTGGTCTTAAAAACTTACGCATGAAAAGTGTGAAAAATTGAGATACTTACGCATGAAAAGTGTGAAAAATTGAGATCTTGTGAAGGATTTGATTGGGAAAATTTAGCAAAACCCTTGATCAACTTATTATTTCACACACACACACACACACACACACACACACACATACATATAATGGCTAATATATTAAAAAGAAAGTAGGATGCAGATAGATTGTGTGGGAAGACCCAAACATGGCACCCGGCTCAGTCGATATATTCAAGAAAGTCCAATGGCTAATATATTAAAAAGAAAGTAGGATGCAGATAGATTGTGTGGGAAGACCCAAACATGGCACCCGGCTCAGTCGATATATTCAAGAAAGTCCAATGGCTAATATATTAAAAAGAAAGTAGGATGCAGATAGATTGTGTGGGAAGACCCAAACATGGCACCAGGCTCAGTCGATACTACAGGATGCAGATAGATTGTGTGGGAAGACCCAAACATGACACCCGGCTCAGTCGATACTACCATATGCAAATGGTTCCAAAAAGAGAAAATACGAAAGAATACATGAGAGACCTAAAGAAAATAAAACCAAAAAGTGACAAAATCTGGATTATCAGGTAACTAAAGAGCGACCCAATTTTGTCTTGTCTCTGCCTCTAGTTCTAAAGAAGGAGCCAGCTAATAAATTGGTGAGATGAGTGCATTGCCAGTAGTAATCAATGTATTAATGTACTATCCAATAAATTCCCAAGCTCGAGTCTGCCTCCATTCTTCTTCTTCCTCCTGGAATATACTTGTCATTCCTCATCCGAAGAATGACTCGCCTTGTCAGTGCATTGGTCTAAAGTGTGTCGAACATGTGTAGGTTATTGAACATTAGAAGCAACAACTTGTTGTACAAGCTGCTTTTTTATCAGATTAGGGAATCGGGAGCATTCTCATGTGTCCTAGCATGTAATTAGATCTTCTTCAAAAACAGTGAGTGGTATAAACACATTTGGATCTGTACCTGTAGTATGGTTCTTCATCAGAAACTGCGGTGTTGGCAAGGGGGGATTCATAGGCAAATTATGTCTTGTGGGAACTTCCTCCACAGATTGAGCAGATGTGTCCATAGCAATGGGGTTAGACTCCTCTTTATTTGCTTGAGCTTTAGCTTTCAAGTTTGGATGAAGCCTGTGGCATTTATCAAATCTATGCCCAAACATCTTACTGTGGGTACAATAAAAAGTTTTATGTTCCATGACAATTGGTTGCTAGTATCCATTGTGAGTTGTGTCAAGCCAGACTTCAGTAAAATCAGATAAGGTAATATATCTTTCCACAAGTATTCTGGCCACAGAAGGCCTGGTTAGGTTAAAGGTGGGCATATCTACCTTCATAGGATATCCAAGAATAGCTCTAATAGAATAAAGAAACTGATGATTAAAGAAATGCAACTTGAGACCACGTAAACTAATCCATACTGGAACAGTAGGAGACTCATGATTTGGGTCAAAATCAGGAGACCGCTT